ACACACTGGCCGCGCTCCTGCCCAGAGAAGAAGCAAATCTTGGACTTCAGGATGCCCAACCAATCATCAAACAGCTTCTCACTGCCCAGTGCCTGTCACAACATTTGTGTTTGTCCAGTGTTCGTTGAAAACAACATTATTCTTTATAAAGCACTGGCAGCCTCACATAGGGTGGATAATTTTAAATGAGCTGGATAGCTCGGCTGTGAATACATCGCCCGCCCACCTGTGAGGAGCTTTTGAAGCATACTGGGCGTGAGTGAGGAAAGCATGCCCAGCAACACTTTAGGTCCTTTAGGTCTTTTTTTAGTAATTTAATGCGACCCTGGCAGCAGCAGCAGTGGCGCTGGATGGAGCATGTGGCTGCTGCTGATGCACACAAGAACAGTATCTGACCATGTTCTTTATGATATTCTGAAAACTGTGTAAGAGTACCGTGGGCTAAGATGAATTTGTTATACTAGCAGGCAAAGCAGTATACCAACGTACCAACAAATGCAGTGAAGAAGACTGCAAGCTAGTAAGATAAGATCTTGTGAGATAACACTTTATTGTCCATTCACATGGAAATTTGTCTTGCATCGCATGCTCCAACAACCATTAGTAAATATGCATGTTAACAATGCACCAATAAGGATCGGCTTTGCAAATGTTGAAATGCATTCACACGTTAAGGTTTGGTGAAAAACGCTGAATGTAACCTTAAAAGAACCTCTGCAGGGCATCCTGTAAGACTGAGTAGTGTGCCAGAGTGTTGTTTTGGGCGAGTTGTGCGCATGTTCACATGCAACTGCTCATGTTACTGTGGGTTTATTCCACTTTATTCAACTGTTCACTGACCTATTGAGAACTACTCTCCAGTGGACAGTAAAATAGAGCATTAATGTGATGATATTGTTAGTTTTCATCTTTTGTAGTTAAGAAGTAGAAAGTGACGAAACACACTAGGAACACAATGTTCCTTGGTACAAAGTGCAATTTTGTATTTTGGCATTTCAAAACGGCAACAATAAATGCTTTGCATAACAATTCTGTAACATTAGTAACTTGCAAATAGCACACTCATGTTTGCTCACACAAGTTGAGTCTAGTGTTGACATAGAAAATACTACAGCAGTGACGGAGCCACCATATCTTATGTCGGTGATCTTTGTGTTGTTTGGGAAACAAGCTCCATCTCTAAAATCCAGCCATCGTAGCATAACATAGATGTGCAGTAAAGACCCATGGCGTCTCAGGTTACAGAGATGATGTATTTATTATCACAAAAGACACTTGCTTGCTGAAGCATTGAACCTTTCATCACAGTAGCCAGTGGTCTTGGTGCTGTGTGAAACGCAAACTGTCTTCCATTTGGTCTGTTTGACCAAATGTTTGCATGGGTTTGTTAATCTGTGAGTGGTGGTTAGTGCTGGTGCCAGGGCTATTGTCGAATATGGAAGGGTCTATCTTCACATTATCATGGCTGAGTGGGCCCGGGGGCTGTGTGATGAATCAGGGACTCAATAATAAACTGCTTATGTAAACATTACTATTGTGCCTCAGCTGCAGCATGCTGAGGCAAACCATTGCTACGATCGGCTGAAAATTACAGTAACAACCATTGTCAGTGTCAAAAATTTAACTGTACTGTTGTCATGGGTAGATATGGGCTCTGCTCGTGTCTAGTATGACCAAATTCGAAAACCAAAATTAAGACATAAAACTGGTAAAGACTGATAATATTGAATACTGAAAAGGACAGCAAGAATGAAATGTTTAGATAGATGATGTCTATGTCTAGCATATTACAGTAGCCCAAATTCTGTTCTGTATTTAAACATTCTACAAGGAGCTTTTAACTGCTTATGAAACCAAGTTAATACTGCCACCAGTCAGATTCGGTCAAATTCCCCTTGAAATCAATGAACTGAGATGATAGAAATACTCCTTTTTTTCCATAAGGGCTGCCAGAATTAACACAAAATTAAAGTTTCTTGCAGTGGCTTTAACTTGAAATACTATTGATGTAAAAGCCTACAACATTCGAAATAAAACAGTGCTGCCAGTCACAGTCACATCTTTATTTTTCAAACTACCAAATCCTATCCTATCTATCCTATTTTATTTGATTTACTTCCAAATACTGCTTAAAAACATCTTTCCCCCCTTACTGTCACGTACAATCATGTCGAAAGCTATGCTATTTAGGCATTGCATGGTATGCAAGTTACCACTTTATTATTTTTGTAATAGTGGATTTTTTATTGAGGGAGTAACGTTAAAGGACCAGTGTGTAGTATTCAGTGACATCTAGCGGTGAAATTGCAAATTACAACCATTTGAATACAGCTCAGCCTTAAAAAAAAAAAACAGGTGTCCCTTGGGTGCTCTTTAGTTTGGGGATCCTAGTTTAGAACCGTTGAAGAAGTCTGAGGCACTCAAGAGGGTAGTGATTTAAAAATCCTTTAATATCTCATTGCTGTTTACTCAGAGAAACAGGTAAACGACATGCCTACACATTTCAGCCATGCACTGTTACTGTGAGTAAATAGTAGAGGTGAGCATTGTTCCCCTCTAAGACGATCTGATATGTAGATACATGAGTTATGATATGATTCAGGGACGATGCATTTTAATATAGAACAGTTTGGTTTGATTTGATGCAATACAATGGCATCTAATTCAGTTCTTAACATTTGTTTAACTTCAACATCTATTTTCCATTCTAAATTAAAAAAGGGACATTGCTCTTAAATACATGTATTTAAAAAAATACCAGGGAATTGGAGGTACATTTAGATCAATCCAGGGGTCTGTGTACTGATGTAGTTGCATCTATAACGTTCGAACCAATCTCTGTATTGGTAAGTCTTTACAATCATAGTAAATAGCCATGCTTTTTAAATCACTATCCTCTTGAGAGCCTCAGATTTGTTCAACAGATCCTCCTAAATGTAACATATTGGACCTTTAAGATGCATGTCCCAGGCTAAAAGTTAACATAGTCAGCAGCTGATGAACATTGTTGAACAGAGTTTTTTTTTCTTTAGTTTTTTGTTTTAACCCTATTTTGAAGTTTACTGTTGAAAATACTTGAACAAGCAAAACAGGCATTCCATGTATGGTGTTATGATATAATGTTCCACTTTTATAAAAGCAAAAAATTGAGCATGAGGACAAGTAACAAGTTTGGCTGAGGCTGATGTGAGAGCAAAACCTTTCCAAATCTAATAAAGAACAGGACAGAGCTGCTACGTTAGCCTAGACTCTGATGTAATTGCAGCCAGGACTGCCTCCCACACAGTAAGTGTTGCTATTGAGAATTTCTGACGTAACCTGTAGTCACACAAAATAATAGTTAGCTAATTGTATTGTACTCCTTGTACAACGGCCTTGAACATAACACTAGGTTACAACTGTAGGCAGTAAGCCAGTTAGCAAGGCATGCTAACATTAACTGCTTACACCAGAGCAGATAAAACACAGTGTTTAATCCAGTCTTTATACCTTTGCCCATGTGTTTTGATTATGGAAAAGTGAGAAAATAATTTGCACAAACCCATGCACACTGCTTCAATCATGACATGTCTGATTGCGGTTGCAATGCTATGATTGGGGTCAGTAAGAATCTGCCCATGTAATTATCAAATTATAGCTGCATTAAAATGATACTTAATTATTAAAAACACTGCATGCTGTAACATGAAAAAGAAAAGTAACACCTCTAACAATGCATTTTGATGCCTATGAAGACCATAAAACATAATATAATCATGACTTAACACATTGTTTCAGACTTCTTGTTGAGTTCAACATGCAACACTTTCAACAGAAGTGCAACTTCTCACTGACTGTTTGACTTAGTTATTTTTGTAATGGAACTACAGCAGTCTAAACTCTGTATGACTCAACAAAGCATGACAAAGATATGGAAAAGGGAACCTGTGCATGTACACTGCACACACACACACACACACACACACACACACACACACACACACACACAAACACCAGACACCCAAATTACACCC